GGGCGCGGCGGAAGGAAGGGAGATCAGGGATCACCCTGATCTCTGGGGGCAGTTCGTTCCAGAGGGTGGGAGCTCCCACAGAGAAGGCCCTCCCCCTTGGGGTCGCCAGCCGGCACTGTCTGGCTGACGGCACCCTGAGGAGACCCACTCTGTGAGAGCGTACAGGTCGGTGGGGGGTAGTCTGTGGCAGGAGGCGGTCCCTCTGGCTTTGATGTCTGCTGAATCAATGCCTCCTCAATGCTCTCCCGATTCCCTTCTCTCCTCTTTCTTTTCCAAGCTCCTGCGATGCCTCCCCAGAATATCCACATCAGTGCCGTGTCTGCAAGCCAGCTGGAGATCACCTGGGACCCCCCTCCCGTCGACAGCCAGAACGGAATCATTCAAGGCTACAAGGCAAGTCAGGGTCAAAATGCCCTCCAGAGATTAGCCCAGGTGCATTCTGGGACACTTTGAGCGAGACCAAAAGGCAGATTGCCCAAGCCCACCTTGTTTCCACAAACATGGGAACTGTTTGATTATTTAACTATGTCGTTTTTCTTCTTCCTTGTGGACCTGCTTTCTCAGGGTCCACCAATCTCAGTAAGTTAGAAAGGCAACCAATTGCAAACCTACAACAAGCAGCTAAAGAATCAGCGTAGATACAACAATGTCAGCTTGAGAACAGCTTTTTCCAACCCGGAGGATGCTGTTCCCAAACTGCAGAGGCTCTGTTGGCTGAGGATGATGGGAGTTGAAGCCTAACACAGTTGGACTCCCTCTTCTCTTAACTTGAAGACTTTCTCGCTCAGGTGGATCCCATAAAAGAAAGTCTCAATGGATTCTAAACCCTAAAAACATTAGTCTTGATGCTTTCATTAAGGGGCTGTCCTCAGGAGAGTTACTACTGCACCTCTTCTAGGTGGGAAATCTGAATGGAGGGCCTGATGGGATCCAAGTGGCCCTGGACAGTTCTAGCCTCAGATCATAGAGCAGGGATCTCCAAACCCGGCAACTTTTAAGACTTGTGGACTTCAACTGGCTGGAGAATTCTGGGAATTGAAGTCCACAAAGTCTTAAAAGTTGCCAGGTTTGGTGACCCTTATCATCGAGAATTCTTCCCAAAAAACCATCTAGAAGCCCTTTGTCACCAATTAAGAATATTTTCTGGGCAGAAAATCCTTGGCAGTCCCACATCTATGATCATTCATTTCCAGGGACCTTTCAGAATTGCCAAGTGTCAAATATGCAAATGCAATCCAATCTGCATATTGCCAGAGTAATTACTCAAAACCAATTCCTCCTCCTCCTCCTCCTCCTCCTCCTCCTCCTCCTCCTCCTCCTCAGGAAGAGTGATGTTAGAAGTCTAGGCCAAGTTGGAGAAAAACACACCAGGTAACTGTCACTAGCTAGAAGTCTGGTGGCATCCCAGATCCAAAATCTCCTCCAAGAATCAATTTAAACAACAATTGGCTTCTAAAACTGTGAGATGCTAGTCTCCTGATCAGTCTTGGAGCTTGGCCAAGTACAGCTTCCACCTGTGCCAGTCCCAGAAGCTGGCATTACTCTTGGGCAGAAATAGCTACCGGCTATAACAATCTGTGTACCTTCTCTTCTGTTTGGCACAGATTCTTCTGATCACTGGGTTTGTAAACACAAAGCAGGTTCTTGACTGGACAGATTCCGGCTGAGCTTTGGGTGGACTTGATAAGCCATTACACTCATAAGTGGCTCTCCACTGCCAAACCGGGGGCTCTGCTAGGGAATTATGGGAAACTGGGTTTGGGGTTTCTAAACCACTGTTGACATCTTAACTTGGCTGAGTAAACCCAACTGTAAGAACTGCCTGCTAGATCTAAAGCGTTTCTCAGGTGTGCTGGGGTTCCGACTTCCAGCATTCCCTGCCAGTGAGCCAACAGGTATGCTGGTTGAGAACTGGAGTATGAAATGATGTCATGGTAACTTGAAAGATAGACTATTGGACTTATCTCTTTTTTTTCCCCCTAACTAGGTTTATTATTGGGAGAAAGACGGTCAGAATGACACTGAAAAAGTGAAGGTTCTCTTCTTCCCCGATACGAGCATCCGGCTCAAAAACCTGACCAGTTTCTCCAAGTACCTGGTCTGTATTTCCGCTTTTAATGCAGCGGGGGATGGACCCAAGACAAGCCCTGCGGAAGGCAGGACCCTCCAGGCAGGTGAGCACCAGAAGGATCCTTCCACTGAGTAGATGCCTTGCTTTGCACTTTTAACTCGGCGGTTGGGTTCCTACACCATCCTACAGCACGGTGCATTTGAGCCACGACTCATTAAAGAAACCAACTTTATCTGGGTTCACCTTGCAGTGATAAACCACAATTTACAAATCAAGATGGCTATTTGAGGAGCTTCCCAATCCCAACTGATCAAAATTCCAGATAAGGACTTTTTTTTGTTGCAGGACTTGGTACCAACCTTGAAGCAATGCCCTGATAGAACGAATCCAGGTTGTGTGGTTCAAGGCGACATTTGTGATCCTGCTGACTCCAAGCGTGCCTTCTGCTTGATCTCTTCCAGCTCCAGGTGCCCCCGGTTTCTTGATCTTCTCCGAAATCACCTGTTCTGCACTTAATGTGTCTTGGGGAGAGCCAACAGCTGCCAATGGGATCCTGCAGGGTTATCGGGTGATCTATGAACCTTTGGCTCCAGTTCAAGGTAGGGAACCCCAAGAAGGATCTATTAGTCTTGGGAGGTGGGCGATCTATCACGGAGATTTGATTGACTTTTGTACACACCCATTCATCTTCTCTTTCTCCTTTGACAAAGACTAATTTCGGCCACCTATCTGAGGCAGCTGACATGAGAATCCAGTTTCTTCCCCCCGTGTGTTTCTACACACTTGGAAAATACACAAAACCATACTAAAAATTCTCTCTAATAGGGGATCACTGGTCCTGTTGGTCAAGAGAGATCCAGAGAAAGCATCTGCATGTAGAAATATTCAATTGTACTAAGGACCTTCAGGAATTTGCGGGGGGGGGGGTCTGCACATTTTCAAAAAAGGTTATTTTATATTTTCCTGCAACAGTCTGCTTCTGATACAGAGACCATCCCTCATTTCCCAAGCTTCAAATTGCTTTCAGAGAAGGGGGTCTCTGCAGACTTTGTGCCTGGTTTTCCCTCATATTATGAACTCGCTCCTTACAGCTTGTTTAAAAATCAATTTCCCTAATATCAGATATAACAAAGTCACCCCAGAGCCGTTCTTCGCCCCTCTTTTAAATAACAATATTGTTGAGGTTTTGTTCTCCGGATTGGATGATCCCGCTAGAGACAGCGAACGGCATCTAATGTCTTTGACCCAGCCTTCTTCCTTCCGATTCTGGGATTTCAAATTGCAGCTGGAAGGAGAAATTGAACCAAAGTGCTTTGGAAAGTCCTGAAATTGATTGAACCCATCCAGGCAAAATTAAGTTTTGTGGAGATGCCACCTATTGTTGGCTTTCAATTAACTGCCGAGGCAGTCGGCGCCCTTGGGTTTTTCCACAAATACCAACTGCCACGTTGTAGTCACAGTAGGAGGAAGGATGTTTAAAGGAAGGAAGGGGATTTTCTAATAAGTCTCAAGGAGGCCACTACTTAACTTTCAAACTCCCTCCCCCTAAAAAAAACAAACTTTGGATTTAAACCTTAGGTCAGAAGGGGGAGCGTCCCTGCGTCCACTTTCTTCTGTTACAAACACATCCTGACCCAAACGAAATGCAGTTTGATCTCACAAGGTGATCCTTAGCCGTCATTTCTTCTGTGTGAGCCTTTTATTTATCTATCTATTTATTTATTAAATGTAGATGCCGCCCGTATCGCTAGCCAGGTTGTCTCTGGGCTGCTTACAGTGGCGTAAAACCGTAATCATCCCAGCAGCTGCTGTTTGTATTTATTTGTTTATGTTGGGGATGTTTTTACAGCTTTGATGTTTTTAATTGTTTTCATTGTTTTATAACGTCAGAACTGTAAGCTGCCCAGAGTCACCTGGTTAAGTTGGGCAGGCATGGAAAGTGAATGAATGAATATAAAAGCATTAAAAATATTAAAATTAACAGCCATTAAATAAAGGTTAAACACCAAGTACAATACTATTAGACCATTTTCTACCTAAAGGCATTTAATCAAATAGCATCTCTTACTTTAAAACCAGGGGTATCCAACCTTGGCAACTTTAAGACTTGTGGACTTCAACTCCCAGAATTCCCCAGCTAGACTCACTGGCTGGGGAATTCTGGGAGTTGAAGTCCACAGGTCTTAAAGGTGCCAAGGTTGGGCACCTCTGCTCTAAACTGATCTAAAAGAAACGTTTTACATGACAATGCACACCTGCTCCCTTCTATCCCACCTCCTGCCTCTTTCTCCTCTGCTGTTGTCTGTTTCCCTTCTTTTAGAAGGAACTAATCCACAAGCGGTAGACACGGGAAATGCTAAAAGATTTATATTTACTTCGCTTTCCTCCAAGACCTTGAGCCATTGGTCAATAGAGACTGTGGTCTGGCAATTTTTCTCCCCAGGAATCATTCGACAGAATGATGGTGGGGGGTTAAAGGACCCCCGCAGAGTCAGTTTGGGGTTTTCAGAGAGAAGCTACAAGCCCCAATTACTTCTGTTCACCTCTCCTGGCTAATCAGCAAGGGTAATCTGCAGCCTCTTCAAAATCTCCCAACTGCGCTGTAAGGTTCCCCCCCCCCCTCTCGCCAGCCTCCACTTATCAAGCCCAGAGTCTAATTACACTTATCTCTGCCGAAAATTGTCCATTATTGCCACTTAAATTCCCACTAATTGTAAGAAAAGCTCCTTTAGCAAATGGCTCAATCATCATTCCGCCCGTAATCTCGTTGGCATCGTTTCTGCTGTCTCACTGCTTGTTTGCTTTCTTTCCTCCTGACCCTTTTACATCTCCCCCCCTCCCCAATCTCTCCTTTTCTTTTGAACACTCTTTTGATCCTTTTTTTTTTTTTAAAGGGGTGAGCAAAGTGGTGACCGTGGACATCCAGGGTAATTGGCAACGCTGGCTAAAAGTCAGAGATCTCACCAAAGGAATGACCTACTTGTTCCGAGTACAAGCCAGGACCATTATCTATGGACCTGAACTGCAAGCCAACATCACAGCTGGGCCAGCGGAGGGTAAGTGAGATCTGAGGAGCGGGCCAAACGCAAAACAACGATTGCGAGCAAAGAGGGGAGCTGATTCAGCACCCAGATGCAACACGTACTTCCAAGTTGCAAGGCGAGATTTTCTGATCTCCCTAACGGAGAGGTAATGATGGATTCTGCCAATTGAGGATGGGGGAAGACAATGTTTTTAGAAAGTTCTCAGAAGTATGCGGAGAAGAGCAACAAAGATGAACAGGGGCCTGGGGGCTCGATTGTTTGATGAACGGTTGAGGGAGCTAGATACATCTAGTCTTCCAAAGAGAAGGACCAGGGGTGATATGATAGCAATCTTCTAATACTTGAGGGGCTGTCCCAGAGAAGAAGGGATTGACTTATTCTCCTAAGCACCTGAAGGCAGGACAAGAAAGAACAGATGGAAGCTGATCAAGGAGAGATCCAAGTTAAAAAGAAGGAGAAATTTCCTCAGTGTGAAAAGGAGGAGTCAGTGGAACCGCTTGCCTCTCAGAATTGTGGGTGCTTCAATGCTGGAGACCTTCAAGAAAAGATTGGAGAACCATTTGTTCAGGATGCTATAAGATCTCTTGCCCTGAGCAGAGAGTTCAACTAGAAGATCTCTGAGTTCCCCTCTAACCCTGTGATTCTACATCCTGTGTTTTATTATTTATTTATTTATTCATTTGTTCCCCTGCCTCAACCAATTCTTCCTT